TCGTTCAAAAAGCCTTCAGCTCGGAGCAAGCCGTGACGGTCCAAACCTTCTGATCAGGTCAGATCAGTTTTAATACTCAATACACTCCACAAGGTCAGTATCCCGCTGCTCCTGCTTATGATAACTATGGTAATTCCTATGGCAATTCCTATTCGTATGTGAGACCTGCTATTGCTGCAAATTACACTGCTAATGCTACATCTCAACTACAACAACCAGCTACTTGGACCATGCATGTGCCTTTAGGTCCTCCTGCCTTAGTTCCTCAAGCTATGTTTACCAATGCTACTAATCCTACTGCGCCCATTCCTTTCTTTGTTACAGGTGCCACAAACAATGTGAGTTCACAGTCAACACTTAATAATACTGGAGTGCCTCTTCCTCCTCACCTAGAAAACGTCTTTCTAGGAAATGGCCAAGGTTTACGTGTTCATTCCATTAGCTCTAAGTCCTTTCCATCTCATATTAATCCTAACATTCAATTGCATCTTAAAGATATTCTACATGTTCCTTTAATCACTAAAAATCTAATCAGTGTTCACAACTTTGCTTATGATAGTAATTGTTATTTCCAAATTCACCTATTTCATTATGTTATGAAATCTCAGGCTGATAATGCTCCTCTCCTTCAAGGTCCTATAGCTGCCAGTGGCCTTTATCCTCTAGATAATACTAGTTTCAAGTCTGTTTCATCTCTAAATAACGTTTCCCCTTCCCAAGTGAATTACACTGTAACGTCTCACACACTTTGGCATAATCGTCTAGGACATCCTAGTTCTATTACTCTAAATTCTGTTTTGAAGATGTGTAATCTCACTATTATTCCATGAAATAATATTGACTTTTGTGTTGCTTGTTGCATGGGAAAGTCTCACAAGTTACCTTCCTAACCTTCTAAAACTGTTTATACTGAGCCTCTTCAACTTGTATATTGTGATTTGTGGGGTCCAGCACCAATGGTGTCTTCTATGGGGTATAAGTACTATGTGTCCTTTATTGATGCCCTCAGTCGTCATACATGGATATATTTTCTAAAAATAAAGGATGAAACATTGTCTAAATTTAAGGAATTTAAGAATCTGGTTGAGCTTCAATTAAACACTAAGCTAAAGGCCATACAAACAAATCGGGGGGTGAGTTTGCACACACTGGTAATTCATCTGTTTGCGTCTCTCAATCATCTCCTCTTGGTCCTTGGGTCCTCGACTCTGGTGCGTCTGATCATGTTACCGGTAATAAAAATCTTTTCTCTTCCCTTTCTACCTCTGGTTTCTTACCGAGTATAACTGCCGCAAATGGTTCTCAAACCCGATCCCAAGGGATCGGTACTGTTCAAATTCTACCATCTCTCTTTGTTACTTCTGTCCTATATGTACCTAATTGTCCATTTAATCTACTGTCAGTCAGTCGTTTAACTCGTTCCCTTAATTGTTCTATCACTTTTACTAACAGTGATGTTATTCTGCAGGATCGAAGTTCGGGACAGACGATTGGCGTCGGATGTGAGTCTCAAGGCCTCTAATACTTCTCTACGTCATCTACCACATGCTCCACCACAAATTCTCCACTCATTATACATGTGCAGTTAGGTCATCCAAGTCTTCCCAAGCTGCAAAAGTTGGTGCCCAGTTTATCTAAATTATCCACTTTACAGTGCGAGTCTTGTCAATTAGGGAAACATACTCGTAGTCACTTTCCTGATCGAGTCAATAAACGGGCTGCGTCTCACTCCGATGTTTGGGGTCCATCGCGTATTGTGTCTACTTTTGAGTCTAGGTATTTTGTAACATTTATTGATGATTTTTCACGTTGCACGTGGCTATTTTTAATGAAAAACATATCTGAATTATTTTCTATTTTTGAACAATTTTATCGAGAAATAAGAACCAATTTTGGTTTGTCCATTCATACCTTAAGAAGTGACAATGCTCGTGAATATTTATCCCAACAATTTCAAACTTTTATGTCATCCAATGGTATTCTACACCAAACATCTTGTCCTCATACACCTCAACAAAACGGGATAGCCGAACGCAAAAACCGGCATCTCGTAGAAACCACTCGGACTCTACTTCTCCATGGTAATGTCCCTCTCAGATTTTGGGGGGATGCTGTGCTCACAGCGTGTTATCTCATAAATCGCATGCCCTCATCTGTCCTTAATAATAAAATCCCTCATTCAATCTTGTTTCCAAACTCTCCTCTTCATCCAATTCCTCCTCGAGTCTTCGGGTCTACATGTTTTGTGCATAGTCTCTCCTCTGGTTTTGATAAACTGTCAGCTCGATCACTAAAGTGTGTCTTTCTTGGTTATCATCGATCCAAAAAGGGTTATCGTTGCTACTCACACACTCTGCAACAATACCTGATATCGGCCGATGTTACCTTCTTCGAGTCTGTGTCATATTTTGCGTCCACCCAAGTCACTCCGGAACCCCTTCAGGAAAGTACTCCCACACCTCTTCCGGACGTCCCATTTCCTATTATTCCCCATCATTCTAGGGAACCTGTCCCACGAGAAACCCCTACGGTTGACCCCCCACTTCTCGTCCACTTCAAACATATCAGCGTCGTAAACCAACGTCTGTCATACCTGTCCCTGAGGTTGTACATGTCCCTGAGGTCGTACCTGTCCCTGAGGTCATTGCAGACTCTCCTCCGACGCTATCGCCATCACCGGATTCGATCCTGCAACCTGAGTCAGATCTTCCGATTGTCCTTCGCAAAGGTATACGTCAAACACGAAATCCTTCTCCACATTATATTAATTTATGTTATCATCGTCTTTCCCCTTTGCAGTATACTTGTTTGTCCTCTTTGTCTTTTGTTTCTATTCCTAAATCTCCAGGTGAAGCATTATCTCACCCTGAGTGGAGGCAAGCAATGATTGATGAAATGTGTGCTCTTCAAAGCAGTGGTACCTGGGAACTGGTTCCTCTACCCACTGAAAAATCTTTTGGTAGGTTGTCGTTGGCTTTATACAGTGAAGGTTGGTCCAGATGGTAAGATTGATCGTTTTAAAGCTCGCTTGGTAGCCAAGGGATACACTCAGATTTTTGGGTTGGATTATAGTGATACCTTCTCGCCTGTAGCCAAGATGGCATCTGTTAGACTTCTTCTAGCCATTGCAGCCATTCGACACTGGCCTCTTCATCAACTTGACATCAAAAATGCATTTTTACATGGTGATCTTGAAGAGGAAGTATATATGGAGCAACCACCTGGGTTTGTTGCTCAGGGGGAGTCATCGAATATGGTTTGTAGGCTACACAGGTCTCTTTACGGTCTTAAGCAATCTCCGAGAGCTTGGTTTGACAGATTCAACACTGTAGTACAACAATTTAGTATGGTCCGTAGTGAAGCTGACCATTCTGTCTTTTATCGTCACTCAGTACAAGGGTGTATTTATCTTATTGTGTATGTAGATGATATTGTCATAACTGGTAGTGATGAGTCGGGAATACTCCAGTTGAAACAACATCTTTCAAATCAATTTCAGACAAAGGATCTTGGTAAACTCCGGTATTTCTTGGGTATTGAGGTAGTCCAATCTAAAGATGGTTTGGTGATTTCTCAGCGGAAATATGCTATGGATATTTTGGAAGAAACAGGTTTGTTGAACGCTAAACCAGTTGATACTCCTATGGATCCAAGTGTCAAACTACTACCCAATCAGGGGGAGCCTCTATCAGACTCGGGAAGGTATAGGAGATTGGTTGGAAAGTTGAATTATCTCACAGTCACTCGTCCAGACATTTCTTTTGCAGTCAGTGTGGTAAGTCAGTTCTTAAATTCCCCTTGTCAGGAACACATGGATGCTGTTATCCGGATTCTAAGATACATCAAATGTGCTCCAGGAAAAGGTTTAGTGTATGAAGATAAAGAACATACTCAGATAGTTGGATACTCTGATGCTGATTGGGTAGGGTCACCAATTGATAGACGATCCACCTCTGGGTACTCTGTACTTGTTGGAGGAAATCTTATATCTTGGAAAAGTAAGAAACAAAATGTAGTTGCAAGATCAAGCGCCGAGACAGAGTATAGGACCATGGCAATGGCAAACATGTGAACTCATTTGGTTAAAACAGTTGCTCAAAGAACTTAAAATTGAAGAAGCAAGACCAATGACACTTGTATGTGATAATCAAGCTGCATTGCACATTGCTTCAAATCCAGTCTTCCATGAGAGGACCAAACATATTGAGATAGACTGTCACTTTGTCAGAGAGAAGATCGAATCTGGCGACATCGTCACAACCTTTGTCAACTCTAATGATCAATTGGCAGATGTGTTTACAAAATCTCTGCGAAGCCCCAGAACTAATTATATATGTGGCAAGCTTGGTGCATTTGACTTATATGCTCCAGCTTGAGGGGGAGTGTTGGTATTTGTAAATATATAATGTTAAGAATATTTGTATGTAGAATAATCCTACATCGATTATATAGTGTAATTAGTTGTAATCTCTATATATAATAAAGTCTCCGTAGTGCTTTCATAACACACGGTTTAACCTAAATGTCTCTTAGTCTCTCCTAATTCAATAATATCTATATTGAGGCGTTGTTCACTGCACTGTTGATTTCATATAGATTTATTTATGTGCATGTCGTGCTCTGCATTTAAACTCAAAAGGATGTGTTTAGGTAGAAACATTGCTTATTGCTTTTTTGTGTTGCTGGTTAGTTCTGGCCAGATACTCATATGGGTTTGGTTTAGCACCATTTTTCAAGTTATCGGTTTCCAGTTGTATGCTTTTGCAGCGATCTGTATGACAGCTTGAGCAAACAAGTTGAGACACACATTTCTTGGAATACTAGCCCACTTTCACTGTTAGACTTCATTTTAGTTAGGTGGCCTTTGTGTTTTGTTTCCAGAGTGTCTGTATTGTTGATTACTTGAGTGATTTTTGTCCCATACAATTCTTTGTTATCAGTTCTCAAGTTGTAGTAACATGTCCATCTTATCCTCCTCTCCTGTGAAACACATGTTCTAGGTACTGGAAAATCTTCAACAAATTGAACTCTGGGGTAGTAAAGTATCAAACGAAGGCGCTGCCCTTCTTAATACGTTCCCCAAGTTAACCCATCTAAATCTTGATTGGACCAGCGTCACAAAACTGCCTAATTTATCGACTCTTGAATGCCTCAATATGAGTAATTGTACTATTGACTCTATTCTCAAAGATGATAAATCTCCTTTGACAAAGCTTATTTTCTCTGGGTCTAAATTCCTGAATGAAGCAGAAACCCTATTGTACGCAAATACAAATTTCTTGTCCTTTCTAGACTTGGCCCATACTGGCCTTGACAAATTCTTCTTTCTAAGTAAACTGAAAGTAATAGAACATCTCAATCTCAGCTCATGTATGATGGATGATGATTCAGTTGAGATGGTTGCATGTATTGGTGGAAAGTTGAAAAGTCTGAATCTGAGTGGTACTTGGGTTACCTCTGCTGGAGTAGGGATTTTAGCTGGACATGTTCCCAATCTTGAAATTCTGTCACTATCTCAAACATCAGTGGATGATACTGCCTTCTCATTTATCAGCATGATGCCTTCATTGAAGGATGTTGATCTGAGCAGTACAAACATTAAAGGTATTTGTTTACTCTGCATAGTTGTTACTGTTGAGGTTAAATCGTACTATTCTGCAGCCATTAAATGAGTCTTTTTCTTTACCACTGAGCAACTACTACTCACTAGGAAACTTTTGTCCGGTACATCTTCAAATTGTTATTTTCTTGTATATGCGAGGTTCAAAATGTCTAAATACTGATTTCTTCAACTTCATCTCTCAGTTATGTCTGGTTTATCTTCTTTCGCTGCCAGTAGTTTAATACTTTCGCTTTAACTTTCCTATCTTTACTTTGGACTCAGGGTTTTTGAACCAGGGAAGTAATGACTTGGAGTCTCTCTCTCTAACGACCATACAAAATCTTAAACAATTAGAAAGGTTGAATTTGGAGCACACTCAAGTCATCAATGAAGCTTTATTCCCTTTATCAAGCTTCCAAGAGCTGAGATATTTATCTCTTAAAAGTCCTTCACTTGCAGACATCTCACTTTACCATCTATCATCAGTTCCCAAATTGACAAAGCTAAGTATCTGTGATGCGGTGTTGACAAATTATGCTCTTGGAAAGTTTAAGGTTCCTGAAACTCTCAAACTAATGGACCTCAGAGGTTGTTGGCTCTTAACAAAAGAAGCTATCTTATCATTCTGTAGAAATCATCCACAAATTGAAGTAAGGCATGAACTTGTTACGGTACTTCCCTTTGAAGAAAATGGACGTCATCATCATTCATCTCCATCTCGATTAACTTCAAGAACTATGCAAGCAACTAGGAAGAAAGAACAAACGTCCTTATCTCCATCTTTTGTAGGTAATTCCCATTACGTTTCGAATCTTCTGGTTGCTATTTTACTTTATGATGCATATAATTTTTATATATTTATTTATTTGTTTTGGTGTAGATCAAAGGATGAAATATAGCAGAGATGAGTTACTTGCATTACAGTTTATGTCTTTGCCTCTTGCATCCAGTAGTGAGAGGGACAACTCAATACTTGAGAAGCAATTGGATTCAATGTAGCAATCTCTTTCCATATAAGTTTTTTTTTGTTCATTGCATTCATATTTCGTCGCATATTCCAATACTCTGGTGTATTAATATTTTACTATGATTGTTTTTATCATTTATCCTGGACTCATGCATCAACTTAGTTCAATGGATCTTACGTGATTCTTTTTACCAAAATTTAGGTGCAACTCGTCTGCATGAGGTGAAAGCTGAATAATATCAACCGAATGCGATGGAGCCATATAGATCCTCGTCTCAAATCTAACCCTGTATGGTGTACATGTAATGTGAATTAAGAGATTTTTTAGAGTGTAATAGTTGACACTTGAAATGTGAAAGATTTTGCTTCTTCCTAGTTTCTTCAAGTTTCTAAATTTACAAGATTGCTATCATTAGGAATTGCAGAAAGAGGTCTGTAGTTGGGAAAGCCTGCATTTCAGGCAGTCGTGAATCGCAGAGCATCTGACCGGCCGAGTCAAATTTTAAGAAACAAAAATTTAGTCAATTACATTCCCATTCATCATGGCATCATAGTTTAAACACAACTATTAACTAAAGGAACAAAAAAAATGTTCAGATTTTTTAGAAGTTTGAAACAATGGACCCTGGGTTTTGGGAAGAGAAAAAAAGGGAATGGCTAAATTCACCCCATGTGGTGGAAAAACATTGAAAATCCGAAAATGCTTTTCCGATTTTAGAAATGCATTTTAGATGCACCATATGTCTTACTCAAACAAGGTCAAACTGAGTATCACTCTAGTTTTTTTCTAAAATTTATTTCGGAGATATACTCGACACATCCCACAATGAAACACTTTCTTTTGACATGAATTGTTCTGAAGATGTATCTTTGTATTTTAATCAGTCATAATCCGAAGATATATCTTTAGAACCACATCAGACAGTAATTTTTGCATTTGATTTAGAGATGTTCTGATAAATTTTTACGATATATGACTTTGCTTTGTATAAATTAAACCACACACTTTTGGAATAATATGAAAATGACATACAAGTTACTAAATTCATAGTTCACAATGAAGTCAATAAAATAGATCTCTGAAAATAGTACTTCTAATATAAATAATATAAACTACTGCGTATGACGGAGTGCGACCCCCTGTTTCTTACGTTGTCTCCTATACTATAGCGTCTCCCGTGCCTCCCTCATCATGAAATTTAGAACGCTCTTCACTGTAGAGCCATTCAGAAATAATCCTCTATCTATATACCTGTCTGCCCAATTTCTACGATACAATGACATTTAGACAACACATCAACAACATGATATGCCCTAACCTGCTCCTCCTCAAGTATCTCCTAATGAGCTGACCATGTGGATCTCTCGGAGTATCTAATACCATATATGAATGTGACACCCTGAAATACCACTAGATGTAGCCGTGTACAACACTTCAGTCACTAGGAGCTGGGGGTACTCCGTGCCTCATACAACACGATATGATAAAGATAATCATAAAAAATGATATCTATATCTCTACGTGTCATAGCGGGAGGAGCATACTCTTAAGGTCTCTTGGAATAAACTACAGGTAGCCAAATTGTCGCATGATGCGCTCAGGCAGATGAGGATATGTCAGACGTGAACCGCATGTCAACCATCCAGAGTAAAAGACAATATCGTCCAAGGGACGAGTCTCATAGTGATTGACGTACATATGAAAGTGTATATTCTCTACTACCATTGAAATGTGTTTTTGAGACCTCGAGATTCTAAAATACAAAATTGTTGAATTTATGAACAAAAGCAATATATCAAAACATTCCATTAAATAAAATGAAATTCAACATCTTACATGTCAAATACTAACAATAAGTTATGAATAATTAAAAACATCAATTAAATACAAACAAGTTTATAAATTAGACAAACTAGTTACTTCTTCACTAGACTTAATCATGCACGTCACGATCTCCTCAAATATCATTAGACTATTTAAGCTTGAATAAATAACACAGACATATATTATCAAGGTAGCATCTAACTCGATTGGTCCTTTGGTATTACCAAAGTATTGAGAATATGGTTTCCACATTGTTTTGAAATTGCATGTTAGTGAATTGAACATGTTAATCATTGTCGACTAACAAACGATGACACTCAATACTTACCACATTTCTTGTGTTGTGATGGTTGAGAAAGAGATTCATTTGGTCTAACTAGTTCTTCAATTCAAACATTGTCACATTGACATTCATCCTGAACAAATAGGGAGAAGTTCCCCTGTGGTAGCAAACTACAGTTAAGTTAGAGTTCATTCTATCTGAATATGGATAGAAGAATTATTTGTTTATATGATGTAAACTGCAGATGAATCAAACATAACTTCTTATACAAGTTCCTGTGGATTCTACTATACACAAAGTATCAGTGCAATCTAGACCACAAAAAAATTCAATGACTCATTTTTGATTATGGAATTAGACTATGTCAAAAACCCCTCAACAAGGATTCAAATTATAGAATCCAAACAATGCAGAAAATCCCTCGGCGTGGATTTAGATTATGGAATTCAAAATTGCTTGTTATAATAATAAAATCCATTTCTCTAATAATAAAATATTTATCTAAAACAACATAAACAATAACTTGAAAAATATCAAAATAATAATAATAATAAAATACATAATAACATTGTACATAAATATAATCAAATCCAAACAAAACAATCTTAAAAAATGCAAAATTCTGAGTTGCACGAGAACCAAGTAAGGGATGTAATACCCCACAATACCACCTCATGTATTCCTATATAGTTTCCCAACTATAGAGGATATGGGAGCCTCAGTCCTCATGGGACAAAATATAGTCCAACTAAACATATCTTTGATCAAACTGAGATGAACTGATAGTAAGTGGAGAAGAGTCAATATGATATTGTTGGTGTGAAAATACAAGTGTAGTATAATTTGTGTCAACAAAAATTCACATGTGGTGAGTGAAAATTATCAATCCAAAAGAGAATGTTTTAACTTCTATAAAACTAATGTGATCATAGTTACAATTAGGTACACAAAAGAAATAAAGTAAAGTGGGGAGGGTTTCACGTAGCATGTTTGATCATGTGAATAAATATACACTTAATTAAACTAAACTAACTATTGATAATTCTAATAAGAGAAACGATTAAGCCCCTTGAAATTCTTTTCCCTTTTCATGTGGTTAATCCCTTCTTGACATAGTTTGATCAAACATAAAATACTTAAGTTATTATGCCTAATTTCTAGTAGTCATAAACAACATCTCAACAATATTTAATTCCAATAGTAAAATTTACCATTAGTTCTCAATTGTTATCTAGATAGATTCCCTCAATTCTATAGACGATAATAAACGTCAAACATAAAAAATTATTAAATAACTATAAGAAATTTATCATTGTAGAGAGTATATCTAAATAAATCTCATGGTTCACATTATTGGGGGGTAAATTTATCTAATGGGGACTTAATCTAATGGAGCTAGACACTCATTTTTAAGACTTTGTTTGTGAGTTTGAAGGGGAAGAGAGAAGAGGATTTAAAAAAAAATTGAGTGAAAATAATATAAGGATTTAGGTGGAGAGGATTTTGGAAGATTTACTTTTATTCAAAAACCAAAATCTCCTAATTTATGAGAACTGAAAAATTGATTTAGAGGAAGAGTTTGTAAGGTTTTAGAGGGTTTAGACAAATTGTTCAAATATAATTGATATTTTTATAGTATTAAAAAAATTAAATATTTAATGATAAGCACTCTGTGATACCGTGAGAGAACTGACTTGAGGTTTTGCGTTTGTATTCGCAAATGTTTCGGTTTAGCAAGAGTCGCCACCGACTTTTTATTTTATCCTAAGGAAAGGTCAAAAAGCACAGGAAAGACCTTTGATATGTTTTCTTGGGTTCAGAGAGTAGATTATGAAAAGGGAAGGTGCAAACACCCTTTTCATCTATGGTTATCCATGGGATCTTAGTTACTTGTTTAGATCACTTGCTTTGCTTTTCCAATTGTTTGAAATGGTGCTTTGTGTGTGGTTTTGAAAGATGTTTTGAAAAGAGGCCATCGTTGTGGCAACCTTTGTAATGATTCTTGTTTGAATGTATACAAAGGTGTTTTTGTCTTTTGAAAAGTTTTCAATGTTTGAAAGTAGGGTTTGGAAATTGTGTAGTGTGTTTGAAAATAACAAGGATGTTTTTGCAAGCTTTTGATCAAGCAGCTAAGACCCATCTACCCTATTTTACTCAAAGATATTTCTTATGTTTTCAACCCTTTTAACTGTGTTGTTTCACCATTGCATTTGGTGAACAACCTTGTGTTAGGATGTTAAACGGGACAGGCGCGAGTCATCGTATAGACCATGATAGCAATTTGTGTCAAGTATTTTTGACAATTTTCTTGAGGGACTTGATCATTTTGTTTAGGCAACTCAGATAGCGTCATCGAGGGACTATGATCTTTTGTTTTATTTTTGTTTTGCCAAAGTACTTAACATGCATACCATGACCCCATTTTTGAAGGCAACAAGTGAATTGTAAACCTAGGGGTGCAAGTGTGCATTGTGTTTGTTTTTCATGCATTTTTTGTCTTTGATTAGGTCAAACTGTTTGTTGGTTTTGATTTTACATACAAACCCTAATTCTCTAATCATGGCATAATTGAAAGCGTAAAAGTGCGAGAAATTAAATTCTAAGCTATTACAACATGATTATGGGGATGGGGGTACATTTTTGAATAGGGGGGTATTTGACAAGAAATATAAACTCTAGTTACTATTACATCCAAATTGAATCTCAAATGCATCAATACTTAAATGTACAATATTTAAATACACAAAATAAATAAATATTAAATAAAATGCATTATGCAAAAAGGGTTTTTTATTTGTTTATGTATATAAAGTATTTTCAATGTAAAAAGTATGAAGAAAAAATAAAGAAAAAATAATTTTATTTGTTTTTTAGGGTAAACCCTAATTTCCTTTTAAAATAAATATTATATATTATTTATATACAAAAAATATATCAATATGTGCAAAAAAAAAAAGAAATATATAAAAAAAGAGTATTTTTTAGTATAAAAAATAAAAATGTAATATTTTTATATTTTATTCTAAGTATTTGATAAAGTAAAAGTATATATATATATATATATATATATATATATATATATTAAATATGTTAAATATGTATGAAATAAAATA